TATATATATATATATATATATCTTATAACATAAATTAAACAGGTAGAATATTCTTCGGCCTAGTTTACATTCAGCTTTTGGCTTATTCCACCGTAACGACACAATTCATTCAAACATAGATGGACGTTTTGAACAGTCCTCCATATTTACTATGCTGACAGACCCTCGAACCTAGTCCTTGTATCTTACGGGGATACTGCTCATGTGGTGGTTCTTAATACTTTATATGCAGTGTATATATATCATACCCTTTAATGTTTCACATGCTTGTAAAACCTTCATCTACAAAGTTACTCAGCTGTGGTAGACTCAAATGTTTGATTATTACCTTAGAAATGCAGTGCAAGTGCCTCCAACTTGTACTTAAAGGGGTTAAATTCTCCACCTTTTATGTGGATGTCCAATCAGTGTTAATGGTAAATATAGTCAATTGAAGCAATGAATCCCTCAGTGTGTGAGTGTGTTCTTCTTTGCATCCAATTGCGTCACTGTCGCATCAAAATGACGGCACTGGATTCAGGAAGACTGACAGATTTTGGAGCTGCGAACTCAGCTTTGACACGTTTATCATCAATACTGATTGAACATGCACATCCACACATGAGCTCATTTTCTCTTCAAATACATTTAAAAAGAGGTTTGCTTGGAATGTTGTTGGCAAACCTAGACTCAAGTGATTATTCAGGTTTAATACCAACTTCTGCACTAAATGTACTTATGGGCATCTAAAAAAATGAATGTCAAACACATATTACAAGAAAGTGCACTTTTTTTCCACTTGTTTCCCCTTCGGTGGGTCACTGACAGCACTGTGAGGCAGCATAAACTCACAGTGGAGTTTGACTATGAAGATGTTATTGTTTGATAGTCCACCTGCTCTATGATATGCAACTCGTGTCATATAGGCCTTCGTATTGCATAACAAAAAGTCCTCTTCCTCGTGCTACAGCTGCTGCATGCACCTCTGTACCATTTAGCCTAATGTCGCCAAGAACCTCATTTTAATATCGCCATTCGTGTCATCGTCCTCGGGCAAAAGCATTTGACTGCCCTTAATTTACAATCTGCCATTCGGATTTTGCAGACGGGCACTTGAATGCAGCATTAGGGTCACGTCAACCTCGCATGCGTCAAAACGCGGCGGGCCACGGCCAGCCAGGTATCCGTCAGGGGACATAATACCTACGTGGACTCCACGAAATGGTCCACACGGAGCCGATCCCTTATGATGTGTGATGGAGGGACGCCGACGCCTCGGGTGGCGCACGACCTGCGGATCAGCCAAGGTCCGTGCGCACACGCATCGACGAACCCACCTGTCACGTGACCTGATGGCACCGCACTGCTCAGGCTCTTGTTTCTTCTTTTTTTTTTTTTAAATAAGTAGTTTACCATCAAACTAATGACAAATTGGAGCGACGACTTCTGACTGACGGGCGTCACATAACGCTGCGCGTGATGATATCTCATTATGTACTTAAAAGACCCAAATTGGACTGGTAAAGGGAACAGAACCTGTCACAGTGCCATACCTTTAACTTCACCCAAATCGACGCCGACGGGTGCGTCTCAAATTATATTACGGTATTAATTATAGGACTATGGCAGATTAGAGTCGTCGCCCCCCCCCCCCCCAGAGCTATTTAGTAGGAAACTGTGTCGCTTAGCAACACCGTCGCCCGCTAAAACAGATGGGTCGTTGCTAGATGATAAACACTAATCATTCATTAATATTGTTGAAAATAAATTTTTATCGAACATCCGCGTGCTTTCTGTCGCGCTGTCACACACGGAGTTCCGGATCACGGCACAGGTCAAAAGGTAACGCAGCAACAAAACAATGAAGATGACACCCACTTTCTTAGGAAAGGGTGACATATTGGAAGGGCTATACAGTATAATTGACGTGTTCACGTTATGAGCAAGCGCATAAAGTCAGAGTGGTCACCTCAGAAAACCCCCCTGCAGATTACTTTCCCTCGACACAACTTCCCCAGCATCTGAAACTTTTTTTTTTTGCGTGCGACTCTTTCTGGCAAAGACGCGAGCGGCAAAAAAAAAAAAAACATTTAAGAGAGCTCAGCATATAAACAGTTGTGGTGCTACAGATTAAAATAGGGACCATAGCAGATTGGATTATGCTTAATACGTCATTTCATCTCGTGTAACGTGTCACTTTCTGGGCGCCGTGCCCTTGTTTATGAACTGCGTCCGAGTCACAATTAGCCCACATTTCACTGACATTCCTTTTGAAGCCGCCGTGCTGCACCCGTTGTGTGTGTAGACCCCGACCGGTGGGCCACGTTAACGTGACCAAACTGCACGGGATAACGCTGCGGTTATTTCTTTGCACCGTCCCTTTCGCGCTCCGCGTGCCAAATCGCGCTCTCTAAGTGGCGTCGCCGCGAGATTAACGCAAAGACTGAACTGTTCGAGAAACTCTGCCGTGTCCGATCAGTGTGAGTGGTCTCTATTAACGGGGGACAGTGGCAGATGAAAGCCGGTAGATGCTGAGCTCGCGTGCCTTCAGATATAACGGGCACGGGCTGTACACACGCGTCCCCCCTATGCTGCCAACACACGTTAGGCATTCGAGACTGATCGTATCGAATTAATACTTTCACAGAAAACCTCCAAGATATGTTTTGTTTTTTTTGCTCTAAACTCAGACCCACGGGAGCGCGCGCGCGTCACATGGGTTTTTAAACGCTTTTTATTATCTGCATAAGTTTAAAGCTTTCATATCTTTGTTGTTTTTCTGCACTGAGGAACCGGACCGGGACCCGCGCGCCGAGAGCTCAGAGTCCGGAGTGCAGCTCGAGAGGGGAGGGAATCCCTCCAGTGTCTGACGCTTCCCTTTACCAAGGAAACCCACACGCGCTCTCTGACGCAACTGCCCATTTTAGGAAACATGCGTCAATGGACCGAGGCAAGTCAGCCCAAACAGTGAACTCCACAGCGGGCGCTGACGTTCGTATCAAAAAATAAATCTGTCCGCATGTATCTGGGCTGCTTTTCTGTATCCCTTGCGTTTCGGTTATGTCTCCAGTGTCCGCTGGGCGATGGATGGTCACGGCGGATCTCTCTTTTTGCACTGCCTTATCCAGAACACGACCCCTCCCTGGGAGAAGTTGCAACGCCCAGGCCGTGACGTGGGCTGTTTCGTTGGTGTTGAAAAGCCGTTGCAGTTGCTTCATAGTGCCATTGAAGTGAGTCATCTCTAGGAAGTGTGGTTACAAAAAAAAGGAAAAGAGAGAAAGAAAGAAAAAAAAAAAGTTAGAACTGTTCCGTGAACAGCGGAGAGCTCAGACAGAGTGCGCAGAGTATCTAGGCAAGGCGACGGGAGTTACTCAGACGATTAGCTGGGCAGTAGGCTTGAAAGCGAACGTTACCTGCGTGAGTCACTCTGTAACTACACTCGTCTCGACTGGATCCGTCTGCGGTAGGTGTGCTGCTGACTTTAGGCTGAAGTTTGCGCACCTGAGAGGATTGACCATAGTGTAGTAAAGGTCTGCCTGCGACTCAAGAATAATAATAAAAAAGCACAATAAGAAATAGCTTTAGCGAGCAGGAAGAAATATTCGTTGTAGCTGGCAATATCTGTGAGATGCTTTAGGTTAGTTTACAGGAGCGTAATTGCACTTTGTCTTTACCAACTCTTCTCTGGATATCCCGAATTAACAACGTCTCGACTCAGAGGATTTTTTTTTCTGCTCTTGGTGCCTTTTTAACCGCGAGGATTCTAAAAAAGAAAAAGAGGGGGCGGAGGGTTCAGATCTCAAACAGTCTCCTCTTTCCTGGACCATGTACCAGGACTACTCCGGGAACTACGACACCTCGTCCCGTGGCAGCAGCACCTCTCCGGCCCAGCCAGAGTCCTTCACGAGCGGCAGCAGCACGATCGGAAGTCCGATCTCTACCTCAAGCTACCAGGTAACACAAGGAAACGCCAGGCTTCCGCGACATTATACCTATAAATAACACCGTAAGCAATATCAAGTGCGCAACATCGGAAACATACACGTCGTTCGTCGTATAGATGTATTTTCTCACGGCACCGCGCTTCCACCAGTTCATAGATTGTATAAAGGCATTCTCCGGGTTGGGGGGGGGGGAACGAACCCAATGGCAGAGATTGAATCGATGACTCAACTGATGCAAGACTCGATCTGTTGGCAAGTATTTGATAATCATTCTATTTGAATTGTGTCACAGGTTATCCAAACACCGTCGGATGATTTGCATCAGATTTGCGCACGGGCTGGTGCGCACAGTAAATAGCGAATACGTGGTGATTTTTGCACATGTAAATAAAACCGTACATGTTTCTTCCTTGTAATAAAACAAAACTTCGAAATGTACAGGTTACACTCACAGAGGCGAAGGTGACTGTGTGCTGATGTTTTGCAGGAGAAATAGGAGACACTGAATTGAATTTGCTTGGGATTTCCAGATGTCAGTGTCAAATCCACTATCTCTGTCCGTCGCTCTCATCTATCTTATCCGTGCGTAAAACTGTAATATTCGTATGGGTCTTTGCGCTTGTGGCACCCCAGTGGAGACGGGAATTTTACACGCATTATAAGGACAATGCCTTTAGAACGCACAGTCCCACATGTCATATACCATTAGCTGTTTACCCAAGGCGCCAGTTGGGATAATGCAACAGGCACGTACTGTTTAATACATTGACACGAGGGCCAGGATGTGTCTGCTGGTGTCTTGGCCACCAGATATTGTATTATTGGAGAGCGCCAAAGACTGTTATGCTTTTGCAAAATACGATATCAGTTCAGTTAAGGTTGGACCATCACATATGACACGACCACGGATCAGATTGTAGTCCAATTTTCTTCGGTGGGTCTCGCGCTGCAAATGGCATATTTCTTCCAGCGGGATGCGAGCGCGCACACCGGGAGCGCAGGTCAAACCAAACCAAAAAAAACCGTCCTTTCCTTACCGAGAAAATGCCACTAAAATGCAAACGCTGCAGCGTTCTGAGCGATCCTTTAAAACACCCTGCAATTATCTCCTCGATGTCATCAGAGGTCTCATACCTTCTCAGTGAGATATACCGGAGGCTACTGTAGGTCTGCCAGAGTAACGCTCTGAGGACGCCGTGCCATGTATTCACAAATGATAGGATGTAAATCATCCGGGAAGAGTCATGTTATTTGCTCGCAGTTAAGTCTCGGTGTAGTGCACTTCTGTGGAAAAGCGTCGTCAGGGCTCACGAAACATTACGGTAAACGACTTTTGGCCCGTATCTATCATCGCTAAGGTTCCCTGTAATCACACACTGGCTGTCTGTTTCCCATTACAGCGGGCTGGAACATGACTTTGTTATTCTTTATTGAGACATATCAAAGCAGAGCTTTGTTTTAATTAGAGCTTCAGATCTTTTTAAGTTATATCAGATAAACTGGGGCTTCTCTATATTCAGTGACATAACTGTACTGATTTAGTTTGAGTGTGATTTATACTCCACTGTATACAATTCATCTTTTTTATGCTCTTATTTTGAAGCCAAGCTCACCAAAAACTTTCCGCTCACATAATTCTGGCTAACTGATCTGGCTTGTTACAGCTGGCTGCCCCCCCCCCCCTTACTGGAACTGCTCGCGTTTCTCATGTGCTTAACAAATCCCATACACAATGACTCACCAGAATAAACAAAGTTCCAACAGACTGCCGGGATATCCGACGGAAAGTCGGGAATAACGGCGAGATGGCGACGCGCGTAATTTACGCACACGGGCAGGGGCAGCAAGTAATACTGACCAGACATATCCTCATACCGGCATCGTTATAACAGTCAGTTCCCACAAACATGCAGGTTGGAGACATTCTTTTAAAATCGTACGGGAGGATTTGATCCATAATATGAGGGGTTGGTGCCAAAGGAACTCATAATCTTTTTCTTTACATCAGAAACATATATCCTGCATCACGGTTTAGCTCCGCACCCACAACTAAGGGCAAATACATCTTTTTTCTTTATATTCAATTTTTGGCAAAATAAATGTCAATTCAACATATAAATCATTAAATTGTTGCCACTTATCATTTTGCGTCTGAGAAAAAAAAAATCCCTCTGTAACAGTTATTCTTCTGTTCAATAAAATAAAGTCCATGCTACCATACGACCCATCCTATTATATCCATCAGTCTACAGTAATATGTATATTCACCCTCCTGCCAGTCCAGACGTTTGCAACACTTCAGCTCAGTGCTCTGTCTCATGGTTATTGTAGTAAAGTGAGATGCTGTGGACACCTTGGGCTTTCCCTGCGTGATTCACAGCATGTGTCACTGTTCCACTCCAGGGGTTACATACACAGTGTTTTGCCTATGTTGGATTGAATCATTACTATAAGCTCGTACTGTGCAAAATGTGTGAATTTGATAATGGTGGGTGGTGGTGTGTGCGACTGAGGCAGGGCTCGTGGATAGAAGAAGATAGAAGATGCTTTACCGGGAAGTTTCCTCAGATGTGGCCGTGCGTCCCCTCTTATCCCATCCCTCTCGTTCCCTCTCCTTCCAGAAGTACAGGCTCGACATGCCCGGCTCCAACAGTGCCTTCATACCCACCATCAATGCAATCACGACCAGCCAAGATCTGCAGTGGATGGTGCAGCCCACCGTCATCACCTCCATGTCCAACCCTTACTCCCGCTCCCACCCGTACGGCCACCACCTGCCCAACGGGCCGGGGCTGCTGGGGCACAACACGCTGGCTCGGCCCGGGGTCATCCGCTCCATCGGGGACGCCAGGGGCCGACGCAAGAGAGACGAACAGGTGAGGGACAATGTTGTTTGTTTCAATAGTTAGACGTTGGTTTCTTTTTATAGAGCTGGATTTTGCTTCAGAAGAAGTGTGTTCATCCTGAAAACAAAGCAAAACACGTGTGTTCACCAGAAATCATTAAACATGAGATAGTTTGTTCAACAGAGGAGAAGAAAAATGAGTTTATCTTATCAGACCAATACACACAACACATGTGGTATCATCATTCTCCTCACAGCCAGCCGGTACTACCCAGCTCTTGCTTGTTGCTTCATGTTGACTGAGTGTGTGTCTGTCAAACAGCTTGTGTCATACCTGCTGTGTTCCTTCTCTGCTTTGCCCTTAGCTCACCCCGGAGGAAGAGGAGAAACGGAGGGTGAGGCGCGAGAGGAATAAGTTGGCAGCCGCTAAATGCCGCAACCGCAGGCGAGAGCTCACGGAGATGCTGCAAGGGGTAAGTGGAAACCTGAAAACTGGAGCCGCCGCATCTGTTATTGGGCTCCGCTTCAATCACACAAATACCTTCCTCTTATGCAGCAAACATGATGATGAACAACCATGCTTCCTGTTTTTTGGGCAAATTTGCCATGCTCATAGTTGCAAAAAATAAAAAAAGCAACAAAAGAAATGTTTTTCACACGGAGAATACATGCACAGGGAGAACGAAAAAAAAGTCACACCGGTTCAGAAGTCTGGCAGGAGTCCAGGGTTTTCTTATGACTGATCGAGCACACCTCAATTTACAACCTTACATTACTGGTTCAACTCTCGCCGTGTCTCTGAGTGCGAGGTCTGAGCGAGGAGATGACAGGCAATGAAAGGCTTTTTTGTCTCGGGCAGCTGCAGACAGAGGTAGAGCTGTCTCGCAGCATCTAAATGGACTAATTAGCCGAATTACAGTGAGGTGGAGCTTGTCAGACCTTAAAAAAAAAAAGAACCCCAGGAATGGAATTTGCTGTAGGCAGCTGTCTCCGTGAATGAAGGACATTTTGTAAAAAGGGGCCAATTGCTTGTCTCACAATCCCACACAGACATGCTGCGTGCACGCACACACACATACGCACACACACATACGCACACACACACACACCACAGCCATTGCCTCTAGGGAAAGAAGAAAAAAACACGGCTGTTTTTTTTTTTTTTCTTCAAAATTCCAAATAAGGAAGTGACCCAGTGAAAAGACTGAGCAGTGTTCCTACAACCACTCCTCTTTGATTGACTGAAGTGTCTCACTGGGCTCCTCCCCTGTCTCCTTGTGTGCTACTTCCTCATACCTTTGCCCATGAGTCTAAGTTCTCAGACAGCATGTCGACTTATCTTCATCCGCCTGATGTCTAGAGGTGTTTATGGGTTTTTGTCTTGAATGTGTGCACATTCATGACACGCTTCTGATGCAGATCTCATAACTCCCGAGACACAAACAACGCACCGTCATTATGGGAGAGTCAAATTCAAGCAGAGAGGATCAAAGATTACGCCTTGTAAATTGAACTGGCCCAGGACAAGTTCCTGATTGTGCCTCTCTCTGTGGCTAGTAGAACTGTAGCAAATGGACAGTGCCCTCTTTTGGCGCCTTGGGGGAACAGTCACACAATCTGACGACCTGATTGTGGAAGGAACTTGAAATTATTGGCATTGTCACGTCACATTTTTTGCAGCTATGGGGTCAATTTCTTGGCTTTTTGTCACCAAATATCCGTGATGCAGTATTTTTTTTTTAACATAATATTAAAGCCATCCTGGTCATTGGTGCTGACCCTGAACTGTTGGGCTTTTGCATGTTGTTTCTCTGTCCACTTATTTCCTGTCAAAAATGCCCCAAAGAAATGAAGAAAAACAACCCAAAAAGAACCTGCTTTAGAGCTCAACCATATTTCCTGTTTCTCCTCACAGGAGACTGAAAAGCTGGAGGAGGAGAAATCGGACCTACAGAAGGAGATTGAGAACCTGCAGAAGGAGAAAGACAAGCTGGAGTTCATGCTGGTTGCCCACAATCCCGTGTGCAAGCTCCCCATCGACGAGCGCCACCATCAGCACCATCAGCACCATCAGCACCAGCAGCAGCACCAGCAGCAGCACCAGCAGCAGCAGTGCGCCCCGCTCCCGCTGACCATGCGCCCCAACATGGGCAGCCGGGCTCAGATGAACCACATTGTCGTGAAGCAAGAGCCCGACGAAAACAACGTCGTGGGCAAGCCCCAGCGCTCCGTCATCAAGCCCATCTGCCTGGGCGGCGGCGGGATGTACTGCACGGACGGGGACAGCCTGAACACACCGGTGGTGGCAGCATCCACCCCGGCTGCCACACCCAACGCCCCAAGCCTCATATTCACCTACCCGAGCATGCTGGAGCCCGAGAGCCCCTCGCCCTCCTCAGAGTCCTGCTCCAAGGCCCACCGGCGCAGCAGCAGCAGCGGGGACCAGTCCTCAGACTCCCTCAACTCGCCCACCCTCCTGGCCCTCTGAGCGGCGGCTGAGAAACAAACACTGTGGCTGACAGCAAGCGTGGGGATCAACTGCGCCTCCCCTCCCCTACCTTTTTAAAGACCCAAAAGCACATTCAAAAGTCCAGACCAAGCTGACCATGTGAGCCGTCCCCCTCCCCCACCTGCAGGGAGACCCACAAGGGCTACACCGCGTGTTTCTTCTTGTTCTGCTTCAGTGTCATTTTTTTTTTGTATACGTTCAGAGTGTGTGCAACGATCCTAAAAAAAGGTGTCCTCCCTTTGCCATTTCAACTCCAGAGTGTCAACTTGTTTACTGGGAAGACAATTCTGAAGAGAAACACACCGCAATCTGGCAATTGTGAGTCGACGTGACCGCAACCAGGGAGCGCGTTAATATATATTTTTCTGCAAATGTTTCAAAAGCCATGTGGCCGACACTTGCACTTCGCCAAGACGAATCAATAAATCACTAAACGAGGTCAGCGTTCTACTGGGTTTTCTGAGGAGAAGAAGGAGACGACGAGCAAAGACTTCCTCTCGTCTCCTTTTCCATTTTGAGTTCCTAACATGGACCTTGATTCAGGAATTGCTACAAGCAGTGTGTACACATTTATGACGCTATTTCCATCTCTTTAATCATATTTATGGCCCGTGCTGATTCAGTTTTACAAAGTGTTTTGTTGAGACATTGTCCTCTCCTTAATCTGCCTGTAGAAAAGCTAAATGGTCGTCCACGGCCCTCCTCAGTGTTGCAAAGGATTACGAGCCAACTTTCAATCAATGACTAGTTCCTCAATACTCTATATCTTCTATTTTTGCCATAGCGGCTTGACTTTACAGTAGTATCGGTGTGCTTTTCCTTAGTGATTCTGTACCTGAACTTTTACAACCTGTTTATGACAAATTGTATGTGATTTACATTGATGTCAGGGATATCTCTCATGTGTAGTAGAACCCATCGTGAAGCGCGTCGTGCGACTGCGGGGCGGCTGTGCGGTCTAGTGTTGCAGAGGTGGCGATACACTGCACACGGAGGGAAAAGAAAATGTCCTCTCCTTGTTGCGTGACGTCGGGGAAAAGGTTTGACTTTTTCTGCTCGGACGATGCAAAGGTTTGAACAAAGCCCTCCTCCACCAGATTCTGACCTTCTTTTCTGTGTTTTTGCACGTTCTCTAGATAAAATGGCTGCCTCTCAGGGCAGGTTTCAAAAAGCCCAAAAAAAAGCTTTGTTTGACACATGTAATCCTGTAATTTGTCCATCTTTGTCTAAAAAGGGGGGGATTTTGCTCAAATTTTAAACAAAAACAACAAAAAAGCCACTGTGGTCTAGACCGTCTCCAGCTGCCAATGATGTCAACCCTGTTTATACTGTGCTTGTACATCTGTCACTTTTAGTAAAGACAGTCAGTGATGTTTAAATCCAAGTCAGATGTGCTGATTTTTTACGGGTGTGTGAACGTCTGCCAACATAGAGGTACTCTGTAGAGACATAGTGGAGGCTGAGCCGGCTTTAAACACAGGTCACTTTCTGACAACAAGAAAGGGACTATTTATTTTTTTTAACAGCTGGCCTGAGATGAAAGAGGGGACACCTCGAGAAGATGTAATATCTCTGAAGTTCTAAGAAGCACTTCTTTTTTCGTAGTTTTTACGTGTGTGTATCTTTAAAGGGATGAGGGTTTTCAATACTGTGCACTGAGACAGCGACTATTTTGTTCTGTTCACTTCAAACATTCCTAACGTCAGGGGTTTAGAAGGGGGATGTCGTCTTTGCTCGAAACCCTTTTCTGTTATTACAGGAGAAAACGTTTTGGTTGGAAGACGTGTGGGTGTGCCGGATGCAGGAAAACGGACTTTGCAATTCAATACAAGCTGCTGCTACTTTGGAAAGAACACGTCGACTGTTTCTCTTCTGATGACGTTTTGGGTTTAACATCACCGGCTGTGATATCGTGTGGATGCAATTGGGGTGGGAGTGGGGGTGTGAGGGGGGGGTCTCTGATCCTGTATGACAACATAAAGAGAAACCAAAAACATTACTGTGGGCGAGTCTGATATGTCTGTATGTTGAAATATTCTGCAGCCCCTCGACACACATAGGAAAGCCATTGACTGTAGATCTTCTGCTGTACATGTCATCTACTGTCTGTCGCCTGTTTTCAACTACTATTACTTCTTTTCCAAATGCTTTAACTGTTCAAAATGATTCAAAATTAATAAAAAACAGCAATATGTATAGCAGTGTTTGTTAATTTAAATGAATAATAATAATTAAAAAATGATAATTTTCAACCTAAAAGTGTGCTCTTTCGTTCATGGGGACCCACTTACAGCTGTTTACTGACAAAACACCTTTTTCTAAGCTGTTGAAAATCCCACCACCCTGTTTATCAATCGCTCCCATCAGTCTGGAATAGGAAAGAGTATTTGACCCTAAAGACAGCAAGCTAAAGCACAGGTTAACATCAAGTAGCTGGTTTACAAAAAAAGACATGAAAGAGTTAAGACAAAAAAGTCATTTCAGAATTCATTCTACTTGCTTCTACGAAACATCTCAAAGTGGACACAAAACATTATCGTATTGTAATGTAAATCATATTAATCGTATGGAGCTATTATTTAACAGGCTGCCTTCTCATAGTGTATTCTGGAAAAAGATTTTAATTTAATTTATATTTCCCAGTATAGGTCATATTTATATCCTGCATATGATATATATATATATGTGTATGTATATGTATATATGTATATATATATATGTATATGTATATATGTATATATATATATGTATATGTATATATATGT